AAAAAAAAAAAAAAAAAAAAAAAGGAGTAAAATTGTAAAGTAGTTTCACCCACAAGTTTCTTTAACAATTTTTTAAAAGGCTTAAAAAAGCAGTATGTTGACTGTTTAAGGTATTAATGCATGTAAAAATGTAGTTGTATGTATGTGGGGTGAGAGAGAGAGAGAGAGTGTGTGAGTGTGTGTGTGTGTGTGTGTGTGTGCATGTGCGCGCGCATGCGCGCGCGCACGTGGTATATTTGTGAGTATGCCAGTGTGGTCATGAGATAATTTTTTTACCCCCTCCTCTTTCAGTTTCTTCTAGATTCAAAAAAATCAGCCAGCTTGGGTTTCTGTTGGAACAAACATTATTGATTTTTCAGAACTAGGTCCTAGAGATCTAAAACCTTGTGATATATATTTTGACTCTTGGCAAATATTACATAAGGTACATCAGAAGTACACCAACACCTTCAAGTTCATCTCAACTAGCAGATAGGAATATATTTGCATTTAGGGATATGAAAGTCAAAGGTAACTTTTAACCTCTGTGAATAAAAAGTCTACATAATAGTTTTCTCATAATTTGTGTTGCAGCATCAATATTTGCAGAAAACTTTGGGCCAAGCTTCACAAAGGGCGAAGGCTTCTTCTCTGTCTTTGCCATTTTTTTCCCAGCAGCTACTGGAATTCTTGCTGGTGCCAATATCTCAGGAGATTTGGAGGTATGTTGTTTTTTCTGCTTCATAGTTGGGAGGTGGTAGTATAGTTGGTGGGTAGCAGCATGAGGAGCTCCAGAGATTGGATAGGGCCATATTTTCCTACAGATTCGAAACTATAGGATTTCTGCAGGATTTTCTGGTTATTTTTCTCTTTTTTAATGCCAAATTTGGATTCCTATTCCAGATAGCTCTTCCAAAAGTTTTATTCAGTAATACCAGAAGAACAGAGAATATTGATAATGTGCCATATTTCTAACAAAATGAATATAGTTCAGTGAAAAAACACCAGACTACCCTTTATCTTTGAAACTTACAATGAGTTAGAACATGAAACATTCATGAAAAAGTGAAAAAAAGAAAGACAATCACATTATTATTTAACATTCCACTCATATTATTCTATGCTAAATACCATAAGGAGCATGTAAACACCATGTTAGGATATTGGGATGTTATAAAAGATCAGTAACAGTGGCCTAAACAAGATAGAGGTTTGCTTTCCTAGTGCATAAAAATTTGAGCTCAGCCAGCACAGTGACATATACTTGTAGTCCCAGCTTCTAAGGAAGCTGAGGCGGGAGGATGGCTTGAACCCAGAAGTTCAAGACTAGACTGAGCAGCAGACTTTATCCCTTAACATTCTCTTCTCCTCAAATTTGAGCTCATAGTGCATTTAATGGAATAAGAAAGGTCTGCTGCTCCAAAAGATTGCCCAGGAACTCACATGACCTCTTGTTTCACCATTACTGTTGAGTTTCTCCTCATCTGCAAAGTCCAAGATGACTGGTAACTTTCAAGATCATATTCCAGTCCACAGGAAGAGGAATAAGGAAGTAGGGAACAAGAGGTTTCTGGAACTTGCATACATCACTTCTGCTGTCTTCCACTGCCCAGAATTTAGTCTTGTGGCCTTAACCAATTACAGAGGAGGCTGGGAAATAATCTCTAACCTGGCTGCCATGTGCCCAGATACAATTTTAGGAGGTTCTAGTATTAAAAAGAGAAAAGTGAGGATGGATATTAGGGGATAATAAAAAGTCTGTTCCACACATACAGACACACACACACAAAAGTGTAAGATACAGATTTTACCTCAATAAATTTATAATCAACTTTGGAAGATAATAAATATTTTCAAGAGTCATCAAGAGATATATATAAGTGAAATTTATATGCACTGTCCAAGTGGATTGTGGAATAAAAATTTTGGACACTATTCACAATAGCAAAAACATGGAACCAACTATGCTGCCCATCAAAGCTGGACTGGATAAAAAAAAATTGTGGTACATATACACAATGGAATATTATCCGGCCATACAGAAGGACAAACATATGGACTTCGCAGCAACTTGGATGGATTTAGAGTCTATCATACTTAGTGATCTATCACAGAAACCAAGAACAGAGTACCATATGTTCTCACTCATAAGCGGGCCTTGAACAATTATCATAATACTATAAGAAAGGGATTGGCAGTGGTGGGAAACTGCTAGGGGAGTGGGAGGTGGGATTGGCGGTTGAGGGAAACTGCTAGGGGAGGGAGGGGCACATCTTATCAACAAGGGTACCTGCATAATCAACGTTTATATTCCTAACCCTGAATCTTTAAAATAATATGCCTAACCCCACATCTTTAAAATTAAAAAAAAAAGGAAAAAAAATTGGACAAATAATTGTTAAGTTAGTCAGGGATGATTTCCTCAAGGAAGTAACTTTTCAACCTGAACTTGAAGCAAAGGCTAGATACTGACAATTGATAAGGAAACATAAGAGTATTCCAGGCAGAGAAGACAGTCAGGCATGAGGAAACTGGGAACAGGGAGGAGTCTCTTTCACTTCAATTGGAGAAACCCTAATGAGGCTGGATCACATTTAAGGCAAGGAGAAACAGCTTCGGAAGGATCTGAGCCAGAGGTGCTTGCCCTAGAATATAGCTTCATCAGAGTGGAGTCTTTGCCTTTGATTTTGTTTGTTGTTGAATCCTCAGAGCTAGTAAAACTTTGATAAATATTGATTGAGTAAATCAATAATGGCATTTAGATTTGTTGTATTGGGGACCACGGTACCATGGTAAGTTTTTGAGCAGAGATATGGCATAAAAAAAGATTATGCTGAAGTATTGAAAAGTTAACAAACTTGTCCAAAAAGATTCAAATAGTATCACTGTGTAATGAAATTTAGCTATGAGTATTGAGCTTCTGGTTTCTCAGCTCTGGAAGAGTCTTAGAGATCAGTGATTTAAATGTCTGCAAACTTTAAGAATATCTTTAAATTAGAGAATATTGTGCTTTCCCTTAACCTCTTAAAAACAAACTTGTATCAGATGCTTAGTAGTCAGTTCAGCTTATCCAGCACTTACTGAGTAACACACTGTGTCACTGGGGACACAAAGAGCTTCATTCTGCCCTCAGGAAGCTCATAGTCTAAAGGGATTACAGATTTACTCTATATAAGTTGGATCAAGCCAAAACGGGATCATGTGCAAAGGAAAGAGTAAACAGCAGAGGAAGACTTGGCCACTTAATCCAGATTAAGGATGAATAGGAATTTGACAAAGTTGAGGGGGACATTTGGAACAGAAGGAATAAGATGTAAAAATGCACAGAGAAAGATGTTGTTGATGGGAATTATTTTATGTGCAGAATAGGATATGTTAGTAAAAACTTTTCATCAATAGATTAATAAATGTATTTATAAAGAATCTCCTGTGTGTCCTAGGCACTCCAGGAGTAAGCAAATAACTAGAAAATATTATTTCTGTCTAAAGAGCCAATACTTGAAATTTCTTCTCCCAAAATAAGTGCTAATTTGATTTAAGATTGTTATGTTAGTAAAGAATTATATTTCTTTATTAGTCTGTACTGAAAATTCTCTGTCTTTGAGTTTGCATGTAAAGAATGTACAGAGGATAAGCTGTCACGGTTTTCAGAGAATGCATGATTACAATATTATTATAGAATGTTACATTCTTTCTATTTTATAAATACTTAATTAAAATTAAGTACTAATATTAATATTTAATTATGATTTTACAATTGAGCATAACTTTTAACACATATACTACTATATACTTTTACTTTATATTATGTAATTTTACTAGAACTCAGAGGTCCTTTAAACTTTTAATTAAAGACAATAGAATCTAGATATTATCCCCAAACTAGCTAGAGACACTAAGGAGGTTAGACAAGGGAGAAACACGATTAGACATGTATTTTAGAGCAAGGGATCCCCAACCCCCTGGCCATCGACTGGTTATCATAGGAGTGTGTACCCTATGGTGAACTGCACATGCGAGGAATCTAGGTTGTGTGCTCCTACTGAGAATCTAATGCCTGATGATCTGAGGTGGAGCTGAGGAGGTGATGCTAGCGCTGAGGAGAGGCTGCAAATACAGATTAACATTAACAGTAAGGTTTGACTGCACAGAAACCATAATAAATCAACTGCTTTCAGACTCATATCAAAATAATAATTTCATAATATTTTATTGCATATTATAACACAATCATAATAGAAATAAAGTACACAGTAAATGTAATGCACTTGAATCATCCTGAAACCATTCCTCCCCCAACACTATGGTCGGTGGAAAAATTGTCTTCCATGAAATCAGTCCTTGATCCCAAAAAGGTCAGGGACCACTGTTTTAGACAGTGCCTTCTAGCAGCTTGAGAAGGACGGATTAGAAGTTAGAGGAAGGGTGTAATCGGTAGAAAGACTGGAGGCAGAGAATCAGTTAGAAAAGTTGTGTTCAGTTGTCTAACAAGAGATGACATGGGCCTGAATTAAGGCCGTACAGGGGAAAAGGACCGAGGAGATCAGCTTTTGTTAGTTAGGAGAGAAAATAGAAAAAATGGTTTTTACTATGATCCATGGTAGGTAACCACTATATATCACAACCAAGAGCACACTTAAACAATTTTCTCCAAATGGTTCTTTATTACCAGCAATTCCTTTTGATATTTTCACATCATTCTATTCTATGGTATTTTCTTAACACCGGTTGCAACCTACTGAATTGATTTCATGGCATAGTAGATAAAGATAAGGAAACTCAGATTTGCCCATTGAGGTTGAAATGGCAGCAGGACACCAAAGTAGCAATGTCTAATGGTAGCTAGATTTATGAGTTGGGAGCTCTGGAAAGGAGCTATGAGTTCACCCAGATATATGCAAGAGGAAAGGGAGAATAAGTCCAAGCCCGAACTCAGAAAAATACAAATGTTCAAAGTATTAACAGTGGAAAGGAAGTCCATCTTAAAAAAAAAGATCGCTGGAGCCCAGCAGGTCGAGGCTGCGGGAGCAGCCACTGCACTACAGTCCGGGCAACAGAGTGAGACTCCAACTCAAAAAAAAAAAAAAAAAAAGTTAAAGAGCTAAGAGGTAGGAGGAACCAAGAGATAGTAGGATCATAAAAGTCAAGAGAGGAGGATGATTTGAGAATTAGTAACTTAGTCAAAAGCCATAGTGGTCAAGCATGTTAAACACTGAGAGGTGAGAGTATATTGAGAAATGATGAGGACATGTGCATATTTGTAGATACTATTTCTCTCCAAAAAGAAATAGAAATAAAGCATAATGGACTCAGTTCAATTCAGTAAATATTTGCTTAGTAAATATTTATATACTGTAGGATATACAAGATACTGATCTCAACTCATAACCTCAGATTCCTCCTTAAGAAGGCACTTCAGGCTGCCGGTAACAGCAAGAGTTGGCACAAGGGGATGCTTCGGCGTTCCCATTCAGAACCTTCTATTTACTAAGAACACATTAATAGATAATCTGTAAATGTGTCCCTGAGAGAAATACCCGAGTCTAGTCAAGAGAGTTAAGATGTAACCTCAGAGATGCAAAATTAAAATATGGTCATCAGCAATCTAATAGATTGCCTGTATTCTGCCCTAAGAAAAAATACAACATTTAATTTTAAAAAGTGAAAGAAAGTTAGATTTTGGGTTACTGCTGGGGGATGAAAATTAACATTTAAAGTGAAAAAAAGAGTTTGTCAAAGTCCTGAGCCCCATTTAGGAGAAATGTAGTCAGACCGCACAATGCAAATATATAATCACACATTCATATATTGGCATCCCAATGTACATATTTTAGGGTCAAGATGAGCTCTCATGTAACTCCTATTAAGTAATTTTAGAGTTTCTAACAGTTAGTTGTAAATGAAAATAAAGTTTTTGTGTTTTAGAAACAAGACTACTTTCCATCTTCACATCTCTTATCCTTATATAGATGTTCTTTCTTCCCACTTAAGTCAGTTCTTTACATTTCAAGATCCCAAGAAATTCTTAATCAATAAAATAAATTTTGAAACATAACATAAATTAGGGGATTGAGTGGGGCCCATTTCAAGTGTGTCTGCCTTCTTTCTTCTGTGTGCTGCTCTACTGTGTTGCATAAACTCTTGGAGACGATAGTTTAGAAGGAAAAGACAAGGTATGTATGTATCAGAACAAGACTTGTGTGCAGATATTTCTAGAAGAGTGGGGAGAAATTGATGATCACAGAGTGGCTCTATAGGACTGGATTACTCCCATGTGGGAGTTTTTTTTTGCTTCAGTTTTGACTTCCAGCTGTGAATCTACATTCACCATGAATGACCTTTTTGATGAACTTGATCAGCATATTTAAGTTAAAATAAAAAGGCTCAAAATTTGTTTGACTGTATTGATCGCTTATTTGTACTGAGGTGTGTCATGTCCTCTGGTGGGGGGACTAATACCTACTGAGACTGTGCTTTCTTCAATTCAATATTTATTGACTCCTGCTATATGCCAGGCAGTGTCCTGTATAAGCAGTGAATACATTAAAATTTCTATTTAATAAACCCTGTTAAGTTGAATTGAATATAATTCAATATGCTCCTTGGAAATTGATTTGATATGATTTTGCCCCCCCAATAGGATATAAAATGGTAAATTAAATATGATGTGAATTCAACTCAGTGAAAATATATACATTTATAAGCAAGAGAAAAGCCCATTTTATGGTAGAAACTTGAATTTGCCTCTTTTTTAATACTTGCTTATGGAAATCAAACATTTCCCATTGCAGTAGTTTCTGAACTAGATTGCAAATGGGGAATTTAGAGTATTGAAGAATTGAGTAGATCATCCTTTTTTCTCAGTCTAAAGTGATTTATTTTAAAGGCAAGCCTGAGCTCAGTATAAAACAAATATACACACAGAGATATGTGCAAAATATGCTTGTATATTTTCCCCTAACACTTAAAGGTCTGATGCACCTGCATGAACTTCACAGGAGATAAAGGGAAGGGAGAGGCCTTGGTGAGTGAACTACTTACTGTCCTTTTCTATAAAAACTCCCTTCTAGACAGTTAGAGATCTCTTCTATTCAGCCAAATTTTTCAGGTTTTTAAAATTTACTCTGCAAACCTTGTCTTTGTCCAAAAAGAACTCAAGCTCACTACCTTGCAATTTACTTTATCTTTCCTGTAGAACTTGTCTCGGGAAGGGTAGCCTAAACATTTGAAAATGTGGAAATAATTTCACATGATCTGGGTTTCTTGTTCTGCCCTGTATTCTCCAACCTCCATGTTATTTTTCAAAGGATCCCCAAGATGCCATCCCCAGAGGAACCATGCTGGCCATTTTCATCACCACTGTTGCCTACATAGGGGTTGCCATTTGTGTAGGTAAGCGGTACATCTCTGTGGTCAGAATGTCAGAACTAAAAATGGTCTGGTTTTCTTCATGTCTAATGAACTCTCAATAGAGCATTCACAGGAATTTTTTATGGCAACAATTTTAATTCCCTTCATGGCACCTAAGTATTAATGGTTTAGATGCTTTAGGGGTTTGAATGCAATGAAGCTGCAGTACAGGTAGCTCTGGGTCAGGGCAAGAATAAAGCTAATCAGATTGCCATTCTACCTGAACACAAAGGGGATCCCATTTTACAACCCTGGGTGGTAATCTCCTACTGGTAAGGAAGACACCATGTCTAGCACACACTTCCCTTGCCAGAGGAGGCAGGTGAAAAACAGAGCAGAGAAAGAAAGCAAAAATAAATAAATAAATAAAAACTCCCTAAAACACAGCCTTAGGGAAGTACGAATGATGCGGAATTTATGACTCTGTTTCATCCTTGCACTGCTGTCCCTAATATGGAAATGTCACCGTCACTAATTGGCAGGAAATCAGAACAAGACCCAGCTGCTGGCAGTGCGGGCAGCCAGCCCCTACATTGCTCAGTGAACAGAAAATATGTGTACTCACCTGCTGTTCCCGAGGCTGACTGTGGTTCCACCTGCTGCTTACAGCCACACCTCCTCCTGGTTGGGGGCTGCCTTATACTCTTGCTATTATAGAAGAGGAAGAAATGTGATTTCTCAACATTCAGCAAAGAAAACTTGGTTTGACTGTATTGTTCGCTTATTTGTACTGAGGAGCGTCATGTCCTCTGGTGGGGGCACTAATGCCTACTAAAATTGTGCTTTCTTCAATTCAGTACTCTATGCCAGGCAGTGTCCTGTATAAGCAATGAATACATTAAACTTTCTATTCAATAATTTCTGTGTACAATAAGGAACACAGCTCTAGGCTGGACCACTTGGAAGCCAAAGAGTACATCCCAGTCCTCCTCTGCTTATTGTAAGGGAAATTGGGAAAGTGCTTATATCCTGAGTTGGTCTCTGAAGATAAAGGCAAAATATTAACTTAGACTCTTGCCTGTCTCCTCTTATTTGAGGAAATTTGATGTTTTGGTTAAATGTATTGTTTGGGCATATCCAAGTTTAGCTACATGTGAAGAGGTTTTGTTCTAATTCTTTAGGAAATCAGCACATTGTTAAGCGACATTGAAATCACCTAAAGTTAAATTTCCCAAATGGTTTTCTGTTCTATACATGTAAAAGTAAGGGAATGAGTAAAGTTATATACCTGATTTTAGAGACTTTTCTGTTTTTTGCTACTAATGAGTGGAAAAATCTGCATTTCTATACTTTTTAGCAGGGTAAGAGGACAGTCATGGGGTCAATGGACTGTCATTAGTACAAATAATGACTCATGGTCTGGCTTCATGGAAATTTGGAGAGATCTGTTATGCAGGGGTTAAAATACATGATTCTGAAAATTCAGTTCAACATAAATAAGCAATGCAAAGAGGTAAAATCTGGGATAGATAGTTTGGCTTGGTAATCAACATCCATAATTCCAGATGTTTGAGCAGAGTGGCTGACCTCTCAGGACCATGATAAAAAGTATTCCTGCACTGATTATTCTAAATGGTTCTTTCAAATTGAAGATTCTATGATTTTTAAGTCTTTCCCAGATTCAAAAAATATGGATTCCATGGCTAAGATCGAAGATATGGATTCCTATTAGTTCCTGTCACTGGGACCTGCTGTAAAATTATTGGCAAGGCATGAAAACCCACCCTGGGTGCAGTTTGAAAAGCAAAGTAACAAGTTTTATTGGTTTGCATTTGGTTCTTATTTATCTTTCCTGTAGTTCAGAAAAATTTGTATATATTGCATATGTATATTCATATATTTCAATAATCCTATCAAATATTTAATGGCAGAGATTACATTTAGAAAAATTCAGAAGAGAAGCCAGTGATTAAAATATGTATTAAGAGTCTTTTAGGCCACGCACAGTGGCTCAAGCCTGTAATTCCAGCACTTTGGGAGGCTGAGGCGACTGCCTGAGGGGACTGCCTGGGTTCGAAAACAGCCTGGGCAACTTGGCGAGACCTCATCTCTACAATAAATCAAAAAATTAGCTAGGCATGGTAGCACACTACTATAGTTCCAACTACTTGGAAGGCTGAGGTGGAAGCATCGCCTGAGCCCAGCAGGTCGACACTAGGGTAGCAGTGAGCGTGCCACTGCACTCCAGCCTGGGTGACAGAATAAGACTCCAACTCAGAAAACAAAAAAGTCTTTTAAATGTTCATAATTCCATTTCTGAAAACTTTCCTGGGGAAATATTTTGAAATACAGAAGAAAATATATGCACAAAGATTATAGAATGTTTATATGTTTATCATAGAAAATAACAGGAATGCCCAAATGTATGAAATAATAAAATAGGTAAACATATAAATATTTAATAAATATTATTATTTAATCATTACCTAGAAAATCTTAATATTTTATCCTAAGACATGTCCTTTATTGTTTAAGCCATTAAAACTATTTATAATATAGAACTATAACTCTGTTTTAAAAATTATGCAAAGAATATCATTAGTTGAAAACAAGAGCTTTGTTCTCTTAATTACTAGAATTCCACGATGCCACCTTTAGGTTCTCCTGCAGATGAGGAAATAAATCCTGGAAAACACCCAATCAGTAGCACTGAGCCAGAAATATAAATTAAGCACATATTGTGTGCAGAGCTCTGCCATGAGCATTTTGAGATCAGAAATTAAGTCTCAACTCCTAAGTTCCTAGCACTCAAACCTAAACCACACAAAGCAGTTGAGATGGCAGCCTGTTACTAACAGGGAAGTTTCCAGAGCTCAAAGGATGGGAATCTCCAGGTACCATGTCTTAAGAAGCATTGACAATGAACTCAGGCTAAGAAACAAATCTGTTCAGACCCCAAGTAAACTAATGTTTTTAGAAGAAAGCTGTAAGGGAGCAGAACCTTATTTTTTAAAACGCCACGGTTGTTTCCACAGGGGCCTGTGTGGTCCGAGATGCCACCGGGAGCATGAATGATACCATCATTTCTGGGCTGAACTGCAATGGTTCAGCAGCCTGTGGGTTGGGCTATGACTTCTCAAGATGTCAACATGAACCATGTCAGTATGGGCTGATGAACAATTTCCAGGTTTGAACTGCAAAAAAAGAAACACAATTATTGCTGTTATACCATGTATAGTAAGACTTCTGAATCTGCAACTGATTGATTATTGATTGATATGAATTCACTGAGGAATACTTCATGAGGGAGGGAAAGAAATCATACAGGCATTATGTGGTAGCAAATCCCATGGTAGGGAGACAATAAGCAGTTATATGAATTGAGTCACGAGGGTGAGATCACCACCTGGCACTATGAGTCTTCCAATCAGTTGTGCAAGGTTTTATGGTGGAAAGTAGAGCTTAGGTTCATTGGCACTTGGAATGCATTTCATGCATGGGCTTCAGCTTAGGAAGAGCCTTTGAGGTGGCCCTGGAATGCCTAAAAGACAAAGCCAAGAGAGAAATTGAGAGCACCAGAATGAAGAAGTAAATAAAGGGAAAGGAACAAGGGAAGTTGGGGAAACTGAATGATTTGAAATGTATTAATTTGTCTGCATGATTGGTGAGCAGAGGGAGAAGTAAATTTGCCATGAACGCTTCATTCATCTCTTTTAACAACCAACAAAGAGAAATTAACTCAGCTGAAGTCATTATTCCAAAATATGACTTAAATTGACAGAATCTCATCATGTCTCAGATCTAAAATTATGTTTAATGAGCACAGAAAAGCAAAGGTCTCAAAGCCTCTGTGTGCAAGAAGAAGAAAGGCTAATGCTTTTAAAAAGACTAGTAAACAGCTGAGTCCCTCCCCAAACCTTATTAAAATACCACTTTCTGCTGGATAGGATTTTTCATCATCAAAGAAACATATGACTACAAAGAACAGAGGGGGGAAATGTCAAAATCCTTGAAACCATTTCCTTCTATATTCTTTCCAGTATCTTCTGGATATATTGTGGTGAGCATTTAGTATTTTATAAATAACAAATAAGGCCATATCCATTTTGAAAAAAATAAAATTAAGAATGCAAGAATGAAGGAGGGGGGAAAAAACTCTGGTTAGAAGCAATTCGCATACAAAAAGTGATTCCAAATCCCTGAAAGTGAAAAAGGAAGCATTTGCATACAAATGTGGCTAATTTTTTAAACCGGTCTATCAGATGAGTCTTCTTACTTGAACCTCTCTTCTCAAGGTCATGAGCATGGTATCAGGGTTCGGCCCGCTCATCACCGCTGGAATCTTTTCAGCAACACTTTCCTCCGCCCTGGCCTCCCTGGTCAGCGCACCCAAAGTGTTCCAGGTAATACAGCCACAAGAGATTGTGTTTCTTCCTATTGCTGTTTCCACTGCATGTGGATCAAGCTGAAATATTCATTCTCACAGGCAATCATTTTCTATCATTTCCTGAAACAGTTAATGTTTGCATCTGGCTCAAGTGCTATGTCTGCCACATAGTCAAGATCGATTCAAATAACATAAAGAATGATAAACTGCAGTGTTAACTTGTGCTTCATATTGTGTATCACTTAATCTTTCCCCAAATCTTCTTGTTTGAATCACCTAGAGAAAATGACTGTGCATAGATATAAATGACAAATTTCTCCTCTTCTTTTCCATTAGGCTCTGTGCAAGGACAACATCTACAAAGCCCTGCAGTTCTTTGCAAAGGGATATGGGAAAAACAATGAACCCCTGAGAGGATATATTCTCACTTTTGTCATAGCCATGGCATTTATTCTTATTGGTTTGTAGTTTTCTTGTTTTTATTGAAAGGCAAAGAATTATTTTGATTACTCATAGAATTTTCCTTTTAGTTTGAGAAATTACCCATTTTATGTTTAAGATCCCATTTGGGAATATTGGAGTCTGCCTAAGAAGGAAATGAGAAATCCTTGTGTGTAGAGGGCCTTTGAGGAACTTCAGGTAGACTTTGAAATGTTCGAAATTCTTCCAACTTAATGCCACTGAATCCTTCCTCCATCCTGCCTGATATTGTCTAATTCCAGGGTCTCCTCCACCTGCCACTATCTACTGTCCTGCTGGCTACCAGAATTGCAGTGTTTCTGAAAATGTGGTCCATTGACCATCTATATTACCATCACCTGGGTGTTTGTGAAGAGATTTCTGACTCAGTTCTAGAAATACTGAATCAAACTCTCTGAGGATAAGAAATCTGCATTTTACAAGCTCTTCAAGAAATTCATAGACCCCTAATATTTGAGAACCACTTACCTAAACTGTAATCTTGACTTCCTCTCCACAAGCAATACAGAAGCAGCTACATGATCTTAGAAAGTCACAATCATCAGCTTTAGCCTGCACATTCCTCACTCCTCTCTAAGGCCCTACCTTCACTGATGAGCTTACAAGAGAAAAAGAAGCAAAAGGCATGGAAACCACCCATAGGCAGGCAGAGACTTCTTCAGCCCAGAGGGCTCCTCATCATCACTTAGTAAACTCAAGAAGTAACTGTGATTCATGAATCCTCCTAAGAGTTCTATAAGGTTGAAGAGAGAAAATTATAACTCTCTGTTTGTTAGATTTTTTAATTAAATAAAAAGTGATTAAATAGAGATGTTTCAATTATGTAATGTAGTCTTTAGACTCTCAGATCACTACACTATAATACAGTTAGGTGATTAAGCAACCAAAATTTTAAAAGTTTTGTAGAAATTAAATAATATCCTTTAAAATCACTGTTTCAAAACAGTGTGAATCAGCTCCACCCACAAGCTTTTATGGCAGCTGTTTTTGTCTGCTTTCTTGTTGGTATCCATGTTCTAGGATCACACCCAGCTGCCTCATTTGCATCACTGAGGTTGATAGATGTCTGACCTTCAGATAAAAGAAGATGTCTGTATTTTTTTTCTTATATCACACAGTAAACAATCAAGTGGAATTAAATCATACTAGATATTTAGCCACTGAGGCAGAAGAATTTTTGGCAAACTTTTGAGAGGTTGAACTCTCTAGAGATACGAAAAAAATATATAAATGACAAACAAGTGTCCTGAAAACCAAAGAATGCATATGGGGCATATGCAGAGAGATTTCCATTTTGGAGTTTCTTGTACACTGATACTTAACTGTTACCTGGCAGAGCCTTTTGATTGTACACATAGCAGATAAAGAACACAGGATTTGGTGCCTCTAGAATAGCTACAGGGAGTTCATCAAATGCCCAGTTCCCAATCTACCCACTCCCCACTTGAATTTTTTTAGGTAAAAGTCTTGATTGTCTATTTTCTGACTGGTAGGTTTTCTCCTTACTTTATGGAAACCCTGGCTAAGAAAAAATATATATATATATACATATACATATATATATATACACATATACATATATGTGTGTGTGTGTGTATATATATATATATATATATATATCCCAAAGAAAAATTGCTAACTTCTTAAACTTTGACAGATGCTAGCTATGTTTTCAATTTCCAAATAAAGTCAAGTTTCTAGGCTATTCCAGGCTATAACAGCTGTTCAGCCCCTGGTCTCATCACTCATACGTACATGTTCAATTCTGCTTCTTTTACAGCGGAACTGAACACTATTGCTCCCATCATCTCTAACTTCTTCCTGGCCTCGTATGCACTTATTAATTTCTCCTGCTTCCATGCTTCTTATGCTAAATCTCCAGGTAAGTTGACTTTCAAAACTAAAATACGCCTAAGCAAACAGTTAGTTTGTCTCAATAAAATGAAATAAGTCAGTGAAAAGTGTTCAATCAGTGTTTATATGTTTCCTTATATCCTAGTGGGAAGTGTAATCCACTTTATTTTGGTGAGTTGGGGGATGACTTCTGAAATAGAAAAAGAATCATTTGAGCAATGGCCTTTTTGACCAACCGTAAAGTCAATTTTCTCCTGTGGTAATAAATTATTCATTGCAAGAGAAACCACATTTATTTCAGCAGTAGAAAAACACCACTATTTATTTCCAGGGTGAAAGTGACCACAGAAGTGGAATTAATGTATATATTTGAAACTTCCTTACTATCAATTTGTTTCCTGCCCATGGTGCAGAAGAAAAGGATGAGTAATTCCCATAATTACCTGCTGAGTGTAGGCAATGCAGATATGTGTTGGGCCCCGGCACAATAATGCTGGTGGCATCAGTGCACTCCTTGGGTTGTGCTTTAACGTTGTTCATATGTTCACACCAAAGAATCTTTCCCTTTCTAGTCACCCTTCACCTCTTCCATTGTCCAGTAGCTTCTTCCGCCTTCCTACCAGAATGAACTTGTCATTATCCACCTTCAGAAAGTTCTCCACCACAAGAACTTTTACCGGGATATAGCACATTTCCACTCTTTTAGGACCTGCCAAGACCTCAAGCCTCCTTTGGAAAAGCTGCTGCCAATGAGACAAAAGACAGATGGGAAGGGAACTTTTATCCATCTAATGCTGGGCTACAGAGGATAGCAGAGGACTTTTCATTTCTGTTTTGTTGTGTTTTTTTAATCACATAGAAATATGTGACTCCATGCCATGTTATAGTCATATTTGAAAAATAAGGTGAAGTAATAGAGGCAGGCAGCAAAGAAGAGGGAAAGGAGAAAAGGAAAGCAAGAGACAGAGAGAAAAAGGCAAAAAAATAGAAAAGCATATAGTAGAAGGCACATGGATACACAAACCCAGAAAACTCCTTCTCCCTCTCTCCTCCCCTCCCCCTTCCCTCCTCCTCTCCCTCCCCCCTCCCTCTCGGGCACACACACACATACACACACACACACCCCACACATACACAACACACACACACACACACACACACACACACAGAGAAAGCCAAACTCAGAAAAAATAAGGATATTTCCAGTGATGTTCTTGAAATGCTGTTTCCATCTTGTGGCCATTTAAGAAATTGCTTCTGAAGACTTGCAAAGCTCTGTTGTGTTTTGGCAACTCTTAATTTCAAATGTACTTCCTTTCTAGACCAAACGTGCCTATCAAATTGGAGCTTCCCGATCCTGACCACTCTTGTCGCCCAGTTTCTTTCATTTCAGGGAACTAATAGGACACAGAAAACCCCCGTGTATGAATGCACTGTGTGAGAAATATTTTCATTGCAAAATGCATGACATTATAACACATTGAGTCTAAGAGGCCATTGCTAGCCATCGGTTTTAACAAGCCCTTTCTTCATCTTTTCACGTTGACTATTATCTCTGAAAGAGCAAGAACTATTCTCCTAGCAAGCGCTATTCTCTTAGGGTAATGGTGGAGCTGCCAGGAAGTCAAGCACATTGACTCTTTTTTTTTTTTTTTTAATCAATATTTTTTATTATGATTTTGTGGGATA